TGGTCGTTACTGGTTGATTAATATTCAACCTTTTTTTCTTCAATCGATGGCGATATGATGATGGATTGATAAAATTCCTAGCGCTGAAAATGGAATCGGTCGGTATCCGGTAGAATGATATTCCGTAAACCCGTGATCTTACACTCCAACATTCTTTTGGGCACCTCTCATCTCATTCTTTAGTCTAATCGTCGCTTTTTGACGAGCGTACGCAAACCTCAGAGTGCTCTCATCTAAATTTATGAGCCCTGCTTTAATATTCATTTCATCGGATGATAAAACGATGGATGGCAAAAGTAATTTCATTTGAGCATACAACCTGACTTAATCTCAATTGTTATTCCCTTCAAGGTCTTCGCGCCTCCACCTTCACTTCTACCAAGTCAACCCTCATATAGATGATACAGTTTTGGCAAATTTTCTCTTCAATCGAAAACTGAATCTATACTACTTCTTACAGGTAGAAAATTGTTTCTTGATGATATCAGCGATTTCGTCATGAGACCTGGTCACTTGAAAGTCTCCAAGTGTTGGCTGCTAAAAAAAAAAGCTCTTGCTAGACATGAAGGTGCCAAGTTGTTTCAAACCGCCAATGGATCCTCTGAAGAGAGATTTGTTGCATTTTTATTGAGGTAATTCAATGGGGGACTACAGTGCAACACAAAGAGTAGATGCGATCATTTGATTTGATTTGAACATAGGAACTTTCAGCATTTCCTACGTATCCTTCAACGGAATCATGAAGGTATAAGAGTCGTCGCCTTTCACTTAGATTTCCGGCTTCATAAAAAAAGCTCAAAACATATATGCTTCAACTATTCCTCAATTAGTAGTAGTAAATTCATAATCGATTCGGTCTATATAGCTATGCTAAGACCATGCGATGCGCCTGTGTCTGTGTTCCTCAATTATAAACACGATTGCCATGCTAATTCATGTACTTTGACATCTTATCAAAGTCGATTGGCTGACCTGACTTCAAAACACTTCGCTTGATTAACCCCCCTACGGCTAACCGAGGCCTTGCTGTTATAGCCCAGGGTTCAACACTTATTCCGGCAGAGTGGGCTCTAACCAAGATGATTACCCGCCTCCCGTGGTCCCGATCAAGATTCCATACGAATTTTGGCAAAGGCAACAACTCTATGGTATTGCTGCAAGTGTGATTGCAACTCAGTCTGTGGGAAGCAATGTGACTATCATTTGTGGATTGTTCTCCCATCACAACGGTCCTGATGAAGTTTCGCCTGATTAGACTCAATCAGCTAAAAAGTATCATTCTACCATCATCATAACTTTGGAAGTTACGAGCGTATCGAATACTAGGGCATCGAAAGCCACCAAATTCTCATGGAATATCCCGAATCTGGTCCTGATCCACGAATCCATGGAAAGCATCAATAGCTATTTTTACAGGCCTTGGCGACCTTTGCTGAACTTCACCATCAAAATTTTAAATCCATTTGTTAATGTGAAATTCATGGCGGGGTTAATGTTGTCATCGAACGCTGACCGGGTATCTTTGTTACTAACAGAGAGGATGAAAGTACTGAGTTGGTATTACATTGGTTTTGCGAGGTGGATACTGATAGAATGAATGCGGAGACATCCAATGTTTTAATTTGACCTCCAAAAGTTATCGGACTTGAGGTATGATTGCAGTTTGGCATTAGAACTTTCAATATAAATGTTGTCTCTGCAACTTGGTGTTGAATTAAACTAATGATAATTAAAAAATATTACAGTCCAACTTCTGCTGCTTTTTTATGAGTGGGTAATGATAAGCTGTGAAAGCTTTTCATTTCAATTCTACAATGGTATTTTCAATACGTAGACGTATGTAGATATTGAAGCTCGGCTGATTCGATCTTATTTTGAGATTGATAGTTAGCTTTAAGCTATACATGAGTGATAGTATCCTCAACGCGGTACCAATGTTAGATCTTGTTCTCTCGATTTATAGTGTATCTATCTGAGAATTTGATGTTTTCTGCCTCTACAATTTTCTGAGTCTACTATACTACTATCTAAAGGAATGGGCCCCCCCTTAATCTCGAATTCGCTTCATGCCATGCCTACGGGTCTGCTTAGGATGACCACCGAGTCACCAACTCTGATGTGATGATCCAATTTGCTACTGATGGGTATTCCGTGGACATTTACTTTACTAAAACACTTTTCTTATAAAGATTATAGGCGACTAGAATTATCAACACGTAGGAAGCTCCATCGCATTTCTTGATCTATCTTTTATGAAGAAGCCTACCTAGTAAGTAATAAAACTGAAGAGAGGGCTTCCCCTAAAAAGACTCAAGTTTTTCTGAATTAGTCAAATAAAAAACCTATTTCGACCTGATATTGGATCTGGAATATGTAATGAATATCTCGATTTATAATTTTCATTGTAGTGACCGTCCACAACTTGTCGTCATCAATGTCATCATGGAGTAGTGTTACATAATCACATGCCGATATTCAGCCGCCCTCCCACCTTCTCATGAAAACTCACCTAATTATCTATTGTACTATTAACCACCGATAATTCTCCAAAAATAGATAAACACACGATCATTGAACTGCAAAATAAACAGTGCGAAACGCCACTTAAACATCTATTTCCTCGTTTTCAAATACTTTACAAAGAACTCAACAACTCTACTTTCTTCCACTTACCCCACCAGTTCATACCCAACATGGATGAATTCGCGCAATCAAGAGGAGACGATGATCTTTTCGCCGACGAGTTTGAACCTGCATCTGAGCCTACAGTCATAGAAGAGGCACCAATTCAATCCGTTTCCAAACTTTCACCAACTGCGGAAACATATGTACATAGTAATGGCGCACAATCCTTACCTACTGGACCTTCAAATAACAGCCATCATAACAACAACAAAAACCAAAGGGAACGAGGCGCGGATAGAAGACGAGGCGGAAGAGGTCGAGGTGGTGCGCCGAATAATGGTTTGAAATCATCGAGGTATGCGACTCAAGAACTAGAGCCTGTCGCCATTCAGCCTGAATCTGTCGAAGCCACAACAGAACAACTCCCAGTTGCTGCGCCTTCGAACTCTCCCCCTCTACAATCTCCTACTGAAGCGCAACCACAAACTCAACAAAAGCCCATACATTCTGTTCGTGGCGATCGTTCTTTAACCGGCGGTCCATCGCACAAGAAGTTGACCGAAGAAGAATTGACAGCGAAGCTCGAGCGAATGAAGATAATAAATGCGGAAAAGGCAGAATCTTTCCGAAAGAGTGAGAAAGATAGGGAAGGTTATGCTGCAAAGGAGAAAGAAGAGAAGCGCAAGAGGAAAGAGGAAATCGAGAGGGGTAAAGTAATGGAAGGCGAGAGAATGAAGAATAGAGAGAGAAAGTTGAAGGCTATGGGTGGTAGGGAATGGGACGAGGGCAAGGATGAAAAAGAGTTCGAGGATAATAAGGGAAGGAGTTCCCAATATGTTAGGGGTGGTCATGGTGGAGTTATTGGAGGGAGAGGTGGTTTGGCTAGTAGTAGGTTTAACGATACTCCAGAAGATGATATGTCTTCGTACATTTATGATGAGAATAGAGGACGGGGAAATGGACGTGGAAGAGGAAGAGGTAGGGGTAATGGTAGGGGTGGAAGAGGTGGTTCAGCACAGCAAATTCAAACTGTACCCGCGCCAGAGGATTTCCCATCATTACCACCAACCTCAGCATCCAAAAATGCGACATCAGGTGTCATTTCTCCATTGGTCGGAGCTGGCGATTGGGCTGATGAAATGGCCACCCCTATTGAACAAGAGAAGAAACTCGAAGTTTAGATCACAGCGTAATTTGGGTTGATGGAAAGCATATTGTGGTAAGGGCGGTTAAATTTGGATTGGAAAGAAAATCGAAGTCAGGCGTTACACATTGGCTCGTCTTGGGAAAGGCTTTGAGCAGCGAATTTTGGTCATCGTGTTGGATACCACAACAGCAAGCGAAATAAATTTTTACCAATTTTGAACCTGAACTTCAATTGACTTTAAAACTCCGCATTATGTAAGTATTTAATTCCATTACTAATATGTGAGACGTTGTTTTTCCATTTCATCCAGTGCCGAAACACCTAGCACACACCTAGCACACAACCCTTGTGTACGTTGAAAGATCTGTCGGATTTTTTTGGCATACGTGGACTATCCTACTTCACTATAATATAGTTACATGGTTTCACAACTCTTATGGCCTATTGATAGGAACTATGGCCGAGACCAGATTAATATGAGTTGGGGTATGGAAAGAATAAAAGAACAGAGAGCGAAACATACTAACACGAATTGTGGAGGCTTGGCTAGAGAAATGAGGTGAATTCAGCAAAAGATGAAAATTTGCTGCAATCAAAGAGTTGCAAATGTACAAGAGTGAGAGCGGAAGCGGCAGAGCTCTGATATGTTGATGAATGATTTTCGATCGTCATCCGTAATATCAATACAGACTTCTCTCAATTGTGTTCGACATTGAGAGGGTTTGTAGTATCATGTGGTTTTGCGATTGTGTGGCTTGAACAAAAATGCTTAAGGTGCACCTGGGCAATTGGAAGTGCTCATGGAACTTATCGACAAAACACTTGGGGAATGTGGTAGGAGATGACCACCAAATGAACCGTAAGTCCTCACTGTTCTCTATCTTCTTCCAGACTTTGCGCATACCGATTAACTTTGTTAAGAGGTATCTGGCCATGGCTGCCTACTAGACGATTTACACTATCTGGTAAACCTAGGAACAAAAGGGCATTGATTGGTCAACACCGACGTTCTAAATGTGAAAAATAACTCGCTCTTTGATCGCAGTTCGTTTTTGTTTTCTTCACGTGAGGCACAGTGAATAGCAGCATTTCTTCGCGCGGTGAAAAAATCGCAAGTTTAAAGAGTTTTTTAAGCACGAAATCTTTACTCCTCGCATATCTTTCTGTAGTTGATTTTTCCGTCGGCGCAGAGAGAAAAGGCGCAAATATAGTGGATAGGCTCAACATCATGGATGGATTTGGTGATTTGGCTGATTTCGATCCCATGGATGGATTGGATGACATGAATGAATATGACTCCGACAATATGGACATCATGGGCATTCGGGCCAAGTACAACAACATTGCTGGATTCGATATCATGGCTGAATCTGACTTGGATCAGTTCGAAGACATGGATGTCTCCGATCGTATGGAAGTATCTGAGTTTGGATCTGACACCACGGAGGAATCTGATGATGATGAATCCTCTGCAGGCCACCCCTTTACTCACAGGAAGGTCACTGGTATGGACGAAATCAATGAACTGATCAATGATCTTGAAGCCGATGGAACAGAGGCGCAAGAAGAAATAACTTCCTTTGTGAGTTGGCACACTGCCTTTTGAATGGCAACCAAAATTACTTGACTTACATGTCGCTAGATTGTTTTCTTCGATACTATTGACCTGAGAGAGAAGAGTCCACGAGGAGACAAGATCGCCGAGCTCTTGCAACTGTAAGAAATTCTACCTCCCTTCTCATCAATCCTCAATTTAAGAATGAAAACAGTCGTTTTATTACTGACTTGTTCATTATTCAGAACCCCAAAAGTTTGCGATCTCACATTAAAGTTTGTAAGTGTTGTTGCATCCATGATTTTACTTGAAAGTAACGCTCAACTCCAGTCATGTTACCTCGATAGCCCTGATAAGTGCTTTGGTGAGAAGCTTATGTCCGCTTTATGCTCTTTGGATATTGAAACATTTGCCCATCGTGCAATGAACCCAACACTTCCCACCAATTTGAGACTTGGCAGAAACAAATCACCACGAACTAACTTTGGTCAACGAAATTTGTTAAAATTAGTGGCATCTTGGCCCAACCTCCATACTGTTAGTGCCAATTCATTGATAGCATCTATTGAAGCTAACTTTCTAGTTACATATTGAAGGAGATACAAATGGTCCACCATATGGTGAAGAGTTACCCCCCGTAACTTGTGCTATCAGGTTCGTTACATTCGAGAATTTGACCGGCAACTACGGTTTCATATCTCGCATATTTGCTGGGTCTGCGCAAAGTCTTCTGGGGTTTGAGGCTTGGACTCTCAGTATTGATGAACACTTTCACCCGGTAATGCGCCTAATTTACCCTCCCTCGTTGGTATACTACTAACCTCTACCTTCAGCTGGACCCTCGTCTCCGACCAATTCTCCCTTCTATTCAATCACTCGACATTTCAGATTACAATCATCCTTCAGACAGATTCCTCAGACACGAACTTCCAAGTGCGCATCATCGCTGTAACCTCAGACTGAGAGGACACAATAAAAGACTCAACAAGGTGATGAGAGCAATGTTCCAGAAGTTAATGAAAACAAGAGAATGGAGGCGTACATCGCTACGAAAGGTCATGTCTCACAAACATAAGAAAACGTAAGCTGAAGAGTCAAATTCAGACGTTTCAGCGGCAATTGTTGAATTACAAAGATGCAGATGGGATCAACACACAAGAATTGCTTATAACGAACAAGCTACAAAAGAAACAAAGAAAATTGTTTGGCTTGGGAGGATATAAAGCAGACTGGGCTCATGTTGTGTTTGACTGCACGTCAAAGATAAACAGTTGATCTCGCACATTCCATTCAGCGAAAACACCAGTCAACCCACACGACTGTAGCGTCTCAGCTGAATATGTTGTATATTCATTTATGACAAGAATTGCATGTTTAATGATGACGAAGATATTCTCGAAAAATGCATTCATTTTATATGTGACGGTATCTGCAATTGTTTCATAACACAGCTCGGGGAGTATGTCTATAATGCGTGGAGTATGTCGGTGTTAAAAGCCTATACGCGTACTTGGTGAAAGTGGACCTGGCGAGTCTGGCCTGGGTGACTATGGTACATATATGATTGATTGACCCATCCCGATTGATTGGAATGAATCCGAGTGGGTACTCCGTAACCTTATACACATAAAAGAACAATGGATCCTTACAAAGTAGATGATTAGTGTAAGAGGGTTATTTCACAGATGAACGCAGGCTCGGCGGGATTCAGGATGGTGCTTGAGCGTGGATCCATTAAAAACATTCAGAGGTCCAGGGGCTGAGAGACTTGGAGGGGTACAATAAGCGATTTTTTGGGGAGTCATGGATCTACCAATTCTTATCCGCGTATTCATGTCCACTACCGAACATTTCACCACATGTCCATGTCAGGGTGAGGATAAGATTGTTCTATGGACGGCATATGGAACTGGATGCCAAGGGAAACCCATTTACCCTAATGAGATTGGTGCTGGACACATATGGATACACAATGATTGAAGACCAATTAACACGCAGAACGGTGTGATCGTGGCACAGCCAATTCGAAGCTAGAGAACTCTAATCCCAGAATGAGATGATGGCAAACGTTATATTTCAGCCCATCTTTCAATCTCCTCGAAATTTTTATTATATCGATACAATGAGAGGCCAATTATACACAATTAGATCATCATAAATTTCGATAATTTTCGAGTGGTCGAATCTTTAGTTCGGACGAGTTTCTCATCAATTGTTCCTCACTCACAACCGTCACCATGGATATGAACGAGCGACGATCGAGCATTTCTGGGCGCATTCGCAATACCTCCATCTCATTAGCAGATGCAGCTTTAAATTTTAATCCTCAATTGGGGATGTGGGCAGCAACCGGCACCGCCATAGCCTAGGCTCCAACGTTGGAAGAACTCCGCGAGCCCATTTCCGGAGGCGCAAATATCGAATTCAATGAACATGGACATTCTAAGCGTACCGTCACAACAGACTTAAATGGTGAACCAGTCCTCGCAAAAGCTTCATCACGTACACAAACCCGTCGATTAAGTAATGCCCAAGTTTTAAATCCTGTACCAGTGGTGGGCCATGGGAATTTTAATACCGCACTCGAGACTGAACCTAAATTTGCGAAACCTTCATTAAAGACTCGAACAACAGTCATTGAAGAAGAACGACATGGTTGGGGTCCGGCCATTAAACATGGTATTGCTGCATTTTGGAAATTCGCAACAACGCCTACTGGTTTCTTGATGACGATATATGGATTGAATATTGTGGCATGGGGAGCTATGCTTTTCTTCTTACTACTAGATGCCGCTCCAGCAATGGATCATCCGGATAAAGATTCCAATGATTCACCTAGGAAGAAATGGTTGGAAATTGATTCACAGATTTTAAATGCTTTATTTTGCGTCACTGGATTTGGCTTGGCGCCCTGGCGATTTAGAGATTTATGGAATTTGTTGCAGGTGAGATTTGGGAAGAATAAGAAAGCAATGAAGAGGTTAGCAAAGCAAAATGAAAGTTGGTTTAGACCAGGGGCTTGGTATACAGATTCGCTAAGGGATGAAAATGAAGAGAATGCTGTTTCTATTCCAGCCACTTTCACTGGGGAAGTCGCACCTCCTACTAGCTTATGGAAACTCAGCTTTGTGGTTTGGATGATGGTTTTGAATACTTTATTTCAAGGAGTATTGGCTGGGTTCATGTGGGGATATAACAGAATCAATAGACCTTCGTGGGCAACTGGTACATTCATTGCCTGTGGGTGCGCTGTTAGCTTATTCGCAGGAATTATGATGTGGTGGGAGGGAAGGAAGGTCAAGAAGATTGAAGGCCCAGTAATCAAGGTTATCGAACCGGATGAGAAAGAGACAGAGTTAGTGGATCACTCAAATAAATAAAAGGTCTTCGACTAGTTCTTGTATATCGATTTCTCTATTTCTCTATGGCTCTATGATTCTATGATTCTATTAGTCATTGGTGTGGAAGTTTCCAATCCACCAATGCTGTTCTCTTCTGTGTAAGTCATGACAGTCATGAACCGTTCAGAAACTGTAACGAAAGTTCCATAGTCCACTGCGCTTTACCCAGATTAACTCCTCCAATTCAACCTCCAATTATTCCAAACTCACGATGTCTTTTTATTTCCTATGCCCTCGCTTCATACTTCATGTAATTCAAGTCGCTACTGAAAGTTTGATACCAAAATTCCATCCTTATAAATCTCCTCATGAGCGATGATCATATAGAACTCTATTCATCAAGGCTCATCAACTTTCTCCAACTTTGAGGCATAGCATCAAAATCCACATTAATACGTGGACGTTGCTTTCCAATCCTCCTCTGCAATCCTCCTTGCTGTCCTACAGCCTCATCTTCCTCTGGCCAACACCTCACCAAATCATATATATCCGCATTATGAAATTGTATTATGTCCTTATCTTGCAATGTTTCGACGTGAATATTCTCCTCATTATTACTTTGCATATATGGATATCCCACCAATTGCCATGCCATATGCAAAAATCCAATATCATACTCAACTTTGCGCTTTAAGCTTGAGAGTTCGAACCAGGGAAATTCCATCAGATACTTACGGCGAAGTGCAATACGGGCTCGTTTATAAAGACCATCCGTGATCCATGACCCTTCAATGTAATCATTTGGATCCGCAGAGATGACTGGCTTATCGTTGGACTGATAAGCTGTTACATCCCAATCACCTGAACATGCTGCGAACGACAATCCATTAGGACAATAGAATTGTTGAATATGTTGATCAAGTAACCATCCTCCATTTCTCCAACGGCATTGTTGAGCTAGTAATTGACAATCCTTTTGTGCTTTCATACGTACAGAGTTCTGTGCGCACCATTTAAAAGCCAAGGCCAGCTGTACATATACCAGCCATGGATTTCACTGCAAACATTTTTGAATTGCATATCGTGGAATGTAACATGGAGAGAGTGAGATCCGTATTCGAGAGGGTAAATATCTCCACTTGCTAATATTCGAGGTAGCTGAATGGCCGGTCTTATGATGTATGGCGTTGTCTTCGTTGGCTTTGGAGAGGAAGCTATGGAGGGAGCGGTAACTCTGTTGGTAACATTGGGTGCGAAACGAGCTGTGAGAATGGTATAGCATATTCCACTTGTAGAATCTCTTAATTTTTGAATCCCGAAAGCATTGTGGACTTTTTCGATGACAGCCTTCCCGGAGCAACGACGTATTGACATGACACTAGACACAGTTGGCAAATGGGAAGTATTGAATACATCCTGGTTGGGTGGAGGTAAAAGGATGTAGTATCGAAGATTTTGCTTATCGTCGATTAGGATATGTAGATCAAGAGAGAATGGTCGAATTTCTGGGAGTGAGGGATGATGCCATGATGATATTTGAGGAACTTTATACTTGGTCGCGCGATTCTCCGTCGATGAGTTGCAAATGGTGATCTCAATATCTTGTGGAGCTGATGAAGAATGGATACCATGAAACGGTGGCATATTTGAATTGGTGTAATATATTGACTTTCTCGTGTTGTAACGTAGGCGCAAGCAATTTCGAAGTAGATATATAGCGTGTCGAGAAATTTCTAATGGTCCAATTGATATTTGATGATAACATACTTTCTGAGACCTCGAGGTTATAGAATCCCTTCAAGTTCCCCTCCTGAAGCTTCTTGGAAGGAATGTTCAATCGGAAAGGTTGAAAAAGCTATTGCAAGTGACCAGCGACCACAACGTAAGAGGGTGAAATATAGAGTCGTATGTAAATAGGTAGTGAGTTTGAATCTAAGAAGGTACAAAATTCCTTTGATAGAAGATATCTTTATGCCAACCTTTGCATTTACCAAAGATCTTAGGAAGTTAAGAGCTTACCAGAACAATAGCTGATAATCAGGTGAAGCCTGAACTTGTGCGAATCATCATAGTAATGATAACAACCTTATTATTAACAATTTCTTTTATATGGATTCAACCCTCTGACTCTCGGGATAGTGAATTCACGAATATGATTCGGTGAAACATCTGATTTAATGGATCTTTGAAGTACTGAGTTCGGCTCATGATCTCAGATGATATATGAGATGCAAATAGAAAGTAACTGTGCTGCTAAACAAGTTAAAAAATCAGCACATCTCAACAATAGGTTACATACACAAACGCTTCAAATGAGTTCTGATACCTAAGATAAAATCTTTAGACTCTTCCTGATGTTCAAGGTACATCTGCCGCTGTTGCGATGAGTTCATGTGGTTAAAAAATCGAGTTACTTCACTTCAACAATGGAGCATTGCATTTGGAGAAGGGAAAAAAGAAAAGGAATAGGGAACGAAAATGAGACCTGAATATTGCCATGAGAGATAGAAAGAAATATGAAGCATCTATATAGCGATTTGACTTTCCTCCCTTCACCTAATCTTTTCCAAATATAACCTTTGTACTTTTACTCAAAACCAAAACTGGCAGTGGCTTGACTTCCCAACATCCTCTTATAAACTCTTTATGATGTTTCTCAACGCTCTTTCCAAGCAAGTTTTCGTCAACACCTACATTTTTTACCTCTTTCAATATCCCCCAACACTTTCCCACCTTTACTCCCTTCCACTCTACTACCGTTGGGCATAATTTGGAAGACCCAGATATAACCTCCAATGTTCCATGATTACCCAAACAAAATGTTGTTCCCCTCTTAAATTCATGTGCATTCCAGATAGTCTTCTTACTACTGTCCACCTTTTCTTGCTTGAGCTTTGCAGAACAATTGGAAAGTAGTGATTCATTAATTTGTAGTGAGGTTTGTAAAACAGGATATCCTTTGGTCTTCGCTTTAAGGGAACAACAGCGCCCGAATCCATCTTGGTCGTGAAAATCGAGACATTCCTTTCCAACAACTACCATGGTTAATGATTCTTCAGAGTCCTCTAGAAATCCTGTCCATGTATGTTCGGATCGAAATAATGTAACGATCAATTCCTCAAAAAAATTGCAAGTGTCCAAATCCACTGAAACTAAACTATTTGGTGGAGTTGGAAGTCCGGTTGCAATGTTATTTTGTACTGTTGATTGAATTCCGCCGCCAGTAGTATTATTTTTGAGCGAGTCGGGCTGCACAATAGAATCGTCATCATCCTCCCCATCTGAATCCCCCTCCGCATCAAAAGATTCAACCCAAAAAGCACTTAATTCTTGATTATCCTCATCAATGCCTGTCTCTTCTAGTGCATCCAAACACTTGGAAATTGCATCACCAATATTGGTCTGCCAATCTTTATGTGCTTTCCAAAATTTTCGAAATGACTTTGGACAACGTAATGCTTTGAGATACGAAGACTCGCAGACACCTTTATCCCATGTGAAGGAAATGGCACGAAGGTAATTGACCATAGTATCAGACGCGAGAATGTTTAACAATCGTCGACGACGAGCATTACGAGAACAGAGAGATACCTCAACTCCAGAGTAAGCTTCAAGATCAAGAGGATTTCGTAGACCATGTCGCCATCGCTCCACTAAGGCGTCCTTCATTGTATGCCTAATTCTCCGTTTATAAGTTACTTGACCTGATCCGGAGATAAATCCCATTGCACTTCCCTGTATTTGTATTGCATGTGAATCGGCATATCGTCTAGCACGAGAAGTATTAGGTGAGCGAAGAGCTTGTTGATCCGACAATTGACCTTTAATACGTAAGACGCGTTCGGGAGACTGAACACACTTTTTATTGACGATAAGACCATAATCACTGGGTGCGCCAATCAATAAGATGTCGGAAGATAAAAAGTGTTGTCTCGGTAACGATTCCTGGTTTGCATCAACTTCTTCCTCATTCCAAGTCTTGAATGATATCCAGTGACAAAAGACCTCTGAATTCATAGGGACCAAATTGGTGTCATTATCGCCGTTTTGTGTTGTCTATGGAATGATAGCACCATTTCCGATATCATATTGCTTGATCTCATTTGTCAAAGAGCTTCTCATAATTTTCCAAGACGGACCCCAAAGATCTGTTAGAGCCTCAATGGTTGATGATAGAAACAAACGTATCTTATGATCAGGATGGCCATGATTGAAGGGATGGAAAACCCATGGCTGCTTCCCTCCTAAGAACCTGTCCATACACTGTAACTGTCGACGGCATATTTCGACACCCAATCCACCTAAATTTGAGATGCCAGAAGGACCTCTGAGTAGATTCACAGCTCTATCATGATATTTAAACTTCTGTGGAATATGGAATGATGGTATATCCTTCCCCACCAACTCTGTATCGAAGGGTTGAATGTGAGCGCCAGCGTATGATAAAATTGCGAGTTCTATGACTTGAGTAGTAAGTTGCCAAAAAAAGCCATCTGATGATCGACAAGCCATATCAGAAAATGTTAAGATCGACATTATAGTCAAGATCTCGAGGCATTTCTGGGTTAGATTTAACGAATCGTCAATTTCTTTTATTAGTCGATCGGCCTCTTCCGCAGGGAATCTGTTGTAGGAAGAAGGAAGTGAAGTGAAATTGACCGATATTATACCCATGAACTCTTTAAAAACTCCCAATAAATCTAATATAGTCTGTATCTCAATCTGAATAACTCTCACAACCCCAGCCCTCCGCTGATCTTGTACTAACAAGGAGATATTCTTTGCACAATAATTATTCTCTTGAAGTGCGGTAAGATTATTGCCAGCCGTGTGGGCCCTGTTATGACATACAAGAAGGTCCAAAAGAAGTTCGGAGTCGGAGTATTTAATGATATTCAAACAATAACCAGTTTGGTATTTATGGTACTCTGATTCTGGAAGGCAAAGTAAAGCTTCATCCTGGGCTGGTCCAGTAGAATCGCCAGTTTTATGGATAAAAAGTCCTGTATTGTTGAAAACTTGCTGTTCCAAATATTTCAATTTGTCAAAGTATGCCTTTGGGTTTGTTATTCGTTCTTCTGCTGAAGCAGATAGTTCTGGATCGTCCGGAAGGTCGTCAGAATCGTAGTCTGTGTCGTTTGTGTCAGACTCAATATCACCAGAAGTAGTGATCGATGTATTCGGAGATGCTTCTAATGTTTCATTCGACGAATTGTTATCAGAAGAATTTGATACATTTTCGAAGATATCGGGCTTGGCTTGATCTACGGCAGAATATGATTGCACAATAGAATGAGCTCTCATGAGTTTGAGAAACCTCTGAACAATTAACACGATTCTCGCTTGCTTTGCCAAGATTAATCTAAACCGTTGAAAATTACTGGAGCGGTTGGTTTCGAAGTGTGAGGGGATTTTTGGCTCAATGTGAACGCTTGTAGTTCCCAAAGAAGTGTCGGGCAACTCATTTCTAGAACACATTAAGAGGTTCAGGCGCAGAATTTCAAAAGCCGAGCCTCCGTTGATGAATCTCTTGATGTGTTCTAGATTTGGAAAGTTTGAGTAATCAATATGGATCAAATCGTCAACTTCCATTACAGCAGTATCTATTTTCTCCGCTTCGTCTCTTTCCTGAGCGTCAGAGATCTTAGTGCCCAGACTCGATGCCAAGTATTGCTCAACAAGCAATTTTGTATCGATTTGCTGGTCTAGATATGAAGCCATGGCGCGTGAGTCCGAGTCTCTATTAGGATTTGAAAAGTCAAAAAGCCTAGTTGCGAACCATGGTGCATATCGTTCAAGGATATTGACGGCATCATTTTCTCGAGTATCAGTAACAGTTTTTCGGAGTTCAAGAATAAAAAACTGAAGTAATCGTCGGATATTCCGAATGAATCGTGGTTTGGAAATCTTGGAAGCGATGTTAGAAAGACTCAACTGGAGCTCAGAATCGGTGTAGATAATTGTTAAAATCTCTTCTTTCGCTGCCTGGGGAAGGTCGTGAGTGATTGAGGCAGATCCCTGGGAGGGTAGACTTGAGCCTAATCCGCTATCTCGGTACGTCTGCACAGAAGCGAGTGACTTTACATCCCAATGAAACAAATCGGGTTGATTGAGATCCACTTCCGATGAATCCATGTCGTTGTAGCTGTTTTTGAAGTTAGATGGCACTTCTAAGTCAGTTGCGAAGACAGAAGAGCCTGGTCTGCCCAACTGCTCCGTAATGATCTGATCATCGTGAGACCGAGTAGAGGCAGCGAAAATCTCAGCCTCCTGGTCATAATGGTGCCCCAACTGATGCAATGAATGATCTTTGTGGGGAAAAGTTTCCTCACCAAGATGACTCTTTTGATACCGTTTGTCACTTTCGAAAGGTTCCAGCGATCGAGCCTGAATGGCTTGCATTTCTTCGTTTTCAGAATCTATTACATCGACTGCGGCGATATTCACTGCTTCTTTCGCAAAGATCTTTTTCTTTTTTGCGCTTCCGATCCCGTCTTCTGTCATAGTTCTCCGCCGGCGTTTTCCCGTGAACTGGATGATACCATGGATATTTTCTTGGTGAGCTTTGAGATGGCCATATCTGGTAAATGTGGCTTTACATTCATTCATATGACAAGGCAGTCTGTTAGTTGTTTTCATGAGATGTTTTTCTTTGATATGGCGTCTCAAGTTACCTGTCTTCCACTGATCAGGTCCGCCTGGCTCATAATCACAATATGAACATTTCGGGTGCCCGGCTGTAGTTGAGTCGGCACTGGCTGAGCCATTAATCTCTATTTGATATCCATTGTTACCAGAAGAATTGGCCGACATGGAACCGTGGTCTACCGATGCAAGCGGATCAGCAGTCGCTTTGTTTAAGATCGTGTATTCTAAGTTTCTGGGCCTTGAAGATTCATCGGCCGCAGGCTCGACCGTGAATTGTGTAGAACAACTACACGGAACATTAGTCAAATCTTTACGGTAGTAATGCAATCTTACTCTTTCTCTCCAGAAATTCCAACGCACAGATGTAACTTTTCATGTCTCGTGAGTTGAAAAGGATCATTGAATCTTTTGCTACATCCAGGATGACTACACGCTTGAGACTGAAATACTTCGGGAGTGGAACCCTGGCGTGGAAATGTATGGGAAGGTGTTTTATTACTTGTAGGTCCTGTGAGGTCATATATTTGGACAAGAGACTCATATTGGGGTTGCCCAGACGTTCCAGACAACGAGTCTGATGAAACTGGAATGCGGTTATAAATACAAAATAGTTCTTGTGATGGAAGTGAAAAGATCAGGTAGGAGTTACTTACGACTTAGCATTTGTGAGTCTCTCCCCGAATCATCCTCAGGTAGTTGTTCTTTGATAGATGGCAACTTAGGGGTTGTATCTTCCAATCTATAGTCTCTTTCATTTGCTAAGGGATATGTACCGGTATCGCAACGCTAGAAGACATCAATTTGCATATCAAACAAGGAAAGATAATCTGTAGAGCTACCTCGTTGTTTGCAGACATGCCGAATGCTGAGACGGCTATCATATGGTTTTCAGGCTTCCATCGCAGTCACGCCCGGACCTTTGACATTTTATGCAAGCTGGCTTTGTTTCATCGCACTTGACTCGTCTGGCTCTATTATCATACATTATTCATGATGTTCCGGATTATTGATTTTGAATATCATACTTGCAAGTGTTACAGCCAGTTTTGACCTTTGCGTGACCGTGTTGATATGCCTTACAGGGCTTCTTGCTCTCTATACTCGTCAGTACATGACCGTTTAGGACAATTCCAGGACGAGCAACAGCAGGTCAACGAACCATGAGAGTCACCATCTTCATTATTTACATGCGCATACGCATTTCCACCATCAAAAAGGGACACTTCATCTCCCTCAAACTCCCTCTTGCCATTTTCAGGCATCGTGAACGGTTGAACCAGAAGGCTAGTTAGCAGGTAGACACTTGTCGCACGTTTTTGTTGCTGAAGTGTGAATAATCGTATATTTACTCGAAGGACGAATTTTCGATCAAGGACTTGTTTTCAAAAACTTCAAAATTAGCAACCGTCGAAATCTGACTGCCAGCCTTGTTGCAACAATCAATTCCTGCGCTATTATACCACCAAGAATATGAGACATACCAAAAAGCTCAACAGCACCCGTTTCCACCCAGTCTCATGACTCCATAGCACTAAAAATATTGATAGAGAAAGGGCCAAACAAGATATTACAAAACGAGAGGATGTTCTTGAAGATAAATAATTGAAGGTGGGAAATACGATAATACTCAGCCTCAGCCTCAATCTACATGCATAATCTGTAGAAAGTTGTCAGCAAATGGCACGGAAATTAGCCTGGCCCCCAATTGAGAGGTATGGCTTGAACAGACAGCTATTGGCTGCACATTGTCAGGTTGTATGCAGCAAAACTCGACGTGATATTGGAAAGGTCAAGCAAGAATCAAGTGCTGAGCAGCAGAACCGAAATTCAATATGCAAATATGGAAATTCAAAGTGTAGAAACACTCCGGAATCTGAAGTCCTTGTTCGCTGATGATAATTCAAAATCAACAGATATTGCTGTAGTAACTCATCCGCTGCCAGTGATGCACAAAACTTTTTTATGCGACCATCGCTTCCCTATTTATTCGACGAGAAATTTCCAAGAGACCCAGCGATACATATCAGCTCAACATATGAGAAAAATGATACAGTTTGGGTGGTTAGGTATGCTGCCAAGCCCCGACAGACTTGGTAGAGTATACCGGTACGATCTTCACCTATTGAATAATTAGCACTTTGGTTTACATGCCAAAGAGCTGTGATAAGCCGCGCTGATAACTTGACCATGAAGGCAATGAAGGCAATGAACACAATGCACGGACAGAGCCAAGACTGAGGAGAGTTGTCAAGGCAGCAAACAGACGACGTATGAAATCCATGATGTGGATCGGAGTGATATAGTTAGACTAACTGGTAGAATGGCTCACAATGATATTTTACTTGATGCAGTAAATTTGAAGCTAGGTAGTGATAATGCTGTAAGATTATGTATGATGTTGTAATAATCGTAATGCGATAATGTAGTGTTTGATGAGGAGATAAAAGGAGTTTGATCACAAGAGATGCAAATATTTGATTTTGAGAAAGCGGAATATGAAACAAGCGTGAATATCAAGGGATGTTCTCTGAATACCAAAGGGACTACCTCATTAGGTCGAAGATCAGAGATCAGCAACGCCTTTCTTTGAGAAACGAACGAAAGTCACCAAATCGCATCTGTGGCTCTTACCAAAGGAGTCGTGATTCTTGACTTGATAGATGGGAACGAAGAAATTGGGATGCAGCAAGCAATAATCTGCATTTTTGACTGTAGAGTGTATCGTGGATTAAAGATAGTAGCCAAAAAGGAAGCAATGTATCAAGGATCAGAAGGGCATTTAGAAGATGTTGATGTATGATCATTTAGACCAAATCCACCAATATTAATTAGTTTCGGCAGTTCGAGGTTGATGTCTGAAAGTCCAGTATCTCTGACTTTACTTCTCTACATCCCCTCCATTCAAATGTCCTAAGAGGCCTCTTTTAGAGACATTCATAGCACGTTGTATCTCCGCCTCTTCATCTCTTAGTCTACCCTTTCCGAATTCCAAAGCTCTTTGCTGTTTCCTTTTCTCTTCCGCTACTCTTCTTTCTCTTTCCTCTAATGCTTTCTGTCTTCTTTCCTTTTCCAAATTTTGCCTGGTGGTTTCCTCACTCTCTTCTACAGTAGCGATTTCGGGTGGTGGCGGTAAAGTGGTGATGAAAGCTTCGATCAGAGGATCTCTTACGGTTGAATCTAGTGAAATGTATCGTATGTCCCCAAGTATAGTTGCCGGCAAATGAGAGGTAAGAGTCGCGTTATTCAAGGCAGATGGAGATTGAGACTTCAGGAGTGTGGAAAGGTCGGATTTAAGATTCGATTGTGGAAGTTTCAGTCGATTGATGTGTTCTCTGTAAAACTTTTCCCGGTCTTTATCTAACAATGATGGGTCTCTCATTTCCGCTTCCTTTTTGTATTTCCGTTTGAACTCTGGCCAATACAATTTGGGAGTTGCATGTTTTTGCAAGAACGCCAAGTATGGAATCTTGGGATCCTTCCTCTCTTCTTTGGCTCGTAGTTCTCGAAGTTGTGCAATTTTTTCCTTTGACCATTCGTCCCATACTTCCCGTCGCGATTTCATATTCGTAAGAGCTGTGTAACGAGTATCCTCCACAATTTTCCCATCCTCAATCAATTTCTCCCACGGCCAGTATGGATTTATACCAAAGTCATTGAGCAAATCCTTGAAAAGAGCTGCTGAATCTTCCAATGACAATTCCAATCCCTCTGCTCCCGGTTCCCAATCATCCATATTGCCATCATCATATTCTCCAGGATCTAATCCGTATTCTTGTCCCATGGCTGCGAGCTGGTATGCGATATCGTCTTCATTGAACTCAACAGGTTCGTCAGAATTGAGTTCTTCGGTTCGTTGACGTTTCGAAGGATTTTCCACGTCCTCATCATTTTCTCCTTCGTCATCTGTCACCTCCACTTCTTCATATTCAGAGCTGTCTTCTCCATCATGATGCGAAACCTCAGCAGCCGTATCGCTGATCTCTGGCCTTTGCGCAGGCCCAGAAGCCTTGGAATTTTCTTCGGTATTCTGATCCTTCGAAAGTGAATCTGCCTTTTCTTGTATTCTCAACTGATCCAGCTTCAAAATGCCATCCTTGAGTTTATCTGGTATCCGCCAAAAACTTTGATCCTTCTCAGTATTGTAAACAAACCTCCTTCCATATTTAGTATGTACAAGGATCCAAGGTTCGCATCCTGGAATGGGAAAACGCGACTTTGGCTTGTCATTTGGCTGTGGTCGATTCTCCCGTGAGCGTTCATGACCACCTCTACCTCCTCGGTGACCCTGTGAGCCACCTCTACCACCTTGAGTCTGTCCATGATCTCGAGAAGGAAGACTGTTGAAATTAGGTCCAGCACTTGGTATCGAATTCCCAACAGACTGATATTGAAGAAAGCTTTGAATTGGACCTGGAACAGGTTGTGGTGGTATCACTATTGGTGCCGGTCGCGTATATGTAGATTGTTTTGTTTCAGCATTGTAGTAGTAAGAATGCCCTTTGCACATTAGCTATGATACGTCTGGAAAAAATAGTCTTACCTGTGGGAGCTTTATGCTCAGTCCATCCCGGTGGTAAAGGAGGTGGAAGGGTTGGTTTGTGAGTCGATTTCAACATTCTTTTGGCATAAAAGTTGTATGAAATTGTGTAAGTTACCAGATAATAGGTACTGTTACTTAGTATCTCATAATTCTCGTCGTTGTGAAATCAAAATCTTGTTCGGCGCATTAGAAAGAAGAATGACATCGACACAAAATTATGATTCAAATGATATGTGAGGCTAAAATGACCGTGAGGCTGTTATACGAGGCTGTAAGGCCAACAGAATCTGGCGCTAAGCTCCGCACTACTACGCGTGGTTCGGGTCGTGCCTGGAGCTCCAATATGAGGTTCAAGTTGAGCTTGGAGATATAATAACATCGCTGTCAACGAAAAGAGGTTATTTTAACTTCAATTATTCTACAACTATATCGAAGATTGGGCGTAGTTATTTCTCGTCTTTTTCTTCTAGATACCCCTCCTTTCAAACAAATAAATACCCATCTCGATAAATCGCAATCATGTCCAGAAGATACGATTCAAGAGTAAGCTCCAAATAACCCACAGCTCCCAGATACCTAGCTGACTTTTACGAAGACTACCATCTTCTCCCCAGAAGGACGTCTTTACCAAGTTGAATATGCTCTCGAGGCTATCTCTCATGCAGGAACAGCATTGGGAATATTAGCAAAGGATGGAATCGTATTAGCAGCAGAAAGAAAGGTTACTAGCAAGTTATTGGAGCAGGATACTTCAGCTGAGAAGCTTTACATCTTGAACGAGTATGTCAAATTGTTGTTTGAATCTCATTATAGAATCTTCTGACATGTTTTTAGCAATATGATCTGCGCAGTAGCAGGTATGACAGCTGATGCCAACATCCTCATCAATTACGCACGTCAAGCTGCTCAACGATATCTCCTTACCTACAACGAAGATATTCCTTGTGAACAACTTGTACGTCGATTATGCGATTTGAAACAAGGTTATACTCAACATGGTGGTCTTCGTCCCTTTGGTGTTTCATTCATCTATGCAGGTTACGACCCACAGAGAGAGTTCCAATTATACCAGAGCAATCCTAGTGGTAACTATGGAGGATGGAAGGCTACAAGTGTTGGTGCAAATAACGCTAGTGCTCAGAGTTTGTTGAAGCAGGACTATAAGGAGGACTGTGATCTGAAGGAGGCTTGTGGAATGGCGGTCAAGGTGTTGAGCAAGACTATGGATTCTACAAAGTTGAGCAGTGAGAAGAGTGAGTGAATTTGATCGAAATTGAAAGTTCTTTGCTAATGTTGATACAGTTGAGTTTGCGACAGTGGGAAAGAACAAGGATGGCACCATTTACCATCACCTCTGGGGTGCGGATGAGATTACGACATTATTGAAGGAACATGATTTAGCTAAGGATGAGACTGGACCAGATGGAGATAGAATAATCAGTTAGATATCTCTTAATGGTCTAAACTCAAGGACTATGTAACAACAATAAATATCTCGTCAGCAGACCGCGATGCCAAATCAATGAACTACAAGATTATGTTTTATACCCTTTGACATTGGTGACCTTTCCTCCCCCATTGCTAGTCCATTCTCCCTCCAATTTTTTCCTATATTCATGCAATTTGTTCAATTCCAATTGTAATTTCTCATCCGGTGAGACGTCTTTAGGAACATTTGCAAAATTTGATTTCGTATTTCTTGCCATTTTTGGGCCATACTTGATCTTTTTGCTGTCCAGGGCCTTTTCCAGAGCGTTGATATTGCTTCTCACTTTCGTCTCATTATCCTTTTTTTCCTTAATGGTCCCCCCTTTCCCTTTTTTCTCATTCTTGTTTTGCTGTTGATTATTATTGTCGTATGTTGATTTGGGGATGATCTGGTCTCCATAAGGCTGGTACGCAGGGCGTGGGGGTAGCATCTTTCCTGGATATGCAGGTGGAGGCGCAATTTCAGATGGTCGTGTTAATTCGGCTTCACAAGCTACCTGTATTCCATGCGCTCGACTCATCTCATTGGACATATATCGAGCCAAATCAGGAT